TAAATTACGATATTTCTAAAGAGAAAAAAAATATATAAATGAATATATATATATATATATATATATATATATATATTACACATTACACATTTAGTTATTATTTTCATTGCATTTGCATTATATATGAAAAGATCTTATGTACAAGTTCTATTGTGTTGTCGTAGGTAGACATAGGCCTGGCAAACGGGTTGTGTTCGCCGTGTTTCGTGTAACATATGTTATCTTAACAGATCGTGTCATGTCATACCTGTTATCTTAACGGGTACTTAACAAGTCGGGTCACTTTACCCAACAGGTAAAATGACCCCGACCCGTTATGACTTGTTAAGAAATTTTTTTTTTTTTCTTAAATTTGCACATACCACATTACCAAATATTATTTCAAAAGATAAAAACACATTTGTCGTTGAGTACTATGTGTACACTCCAAAACAAGAGCCTAATAAAAAAGCACCAATAGACTACTAGTCTACTACAAAATATCAACTGTGCAAGTATATGCAAAATGAAGAAGTTTTTTTTTTTTTTTTAAAGGATGCGAAGCCTTTCTCAGAAGTTAAAACCTTGTCAATGAAACTCAAAGCTTGCATGTTACTCCTTTTACAAAATCGTCCAATTTTCATCGATCATCATGGGGAAATTATAATAGAACTTTGGCTTCATCTATTGCCTTCAAGAGTTATGTTGATGATGTTTTTAGTGAGGTTTTCTACATCATAACTCTCTTCCGCATAAACTAAATATAGAAAAACCAAACATTATAAACCATTCAAATTATGAGAAGTGTATCAAATAATTATGAAAAAAATAAAACAATAGTACTATACCATCTAAAAATATATTACCTCTTTTTCCAAATTTTCTAAATTTAATTTAATATATATAATATTATATGTAATCATATATAAATATAATATAATATTTTAAGGGGTATACAATTATTAAATATTATCATATATATATATAATTATTATAGTATTTTTAGGAGTATAAAATTATTAAGTTAATATTTTGCTTATCGTGTATCGGGTTACTCACGTGTATACCCGAACCAACCTGTTATCTTAACTGGTGCTTATCGGATTTCCCGATAATGACCCAATTCGTTATCGTGTTGACTGGATAACCTGTTAATTTCGTGTTGTTTTGTGTCGGATTAACGGGTCATGTCAGAAATTGCCAAGCTTAGGTAGACACATTGCATCAAAATATTTAGGTTTTGTGTAGTTATATTATGTGTAAACAAGATGTATTTAGTGTTCCTTGTTTTTTACGTGTTTATGAAACAAAAGAATTTTTTACATGATTTATATTCCACGTGAATCTTTATTTTCTACTAATTATTGAATTTAGTTTTCTTTGATACTCCATCGTTCTTTACTTTTTGTGGAGAAAATGTGCAATATTAATTACTTATAGGCAATCATATAGGAGAAAAGGTGCATAAACGTGACTATATTAAAATTTTGTTGGAACTTTCAATCCCGACGAAGGAAAAATATTACCAAACTAAGGGCATGTTTATTTAAAAGAAATAAATTTATAAAGAATGAGTATCACTAAGATATCCAACATTCGATGTTCATACAATATCCACAACTCTTTTTGGCTTGGTATAAGAAATGATATATTCTGGAAATAAAAGAGATTTATACAAGACAAGAGCTTCTAGAGAACTAACTATAATTCACGTTCTTTGTTAACTAAAAACCAATGATTTAAAAGGAATGAGAGTGATTCACATTCATGTGTTTACTAATCAAGGAATGGTAAAAATAAATGTATTAATTTGGGTCTCGTACTTGAAAAGTCAATGTATGAGATTACAATTGGGTGGAGGAGGTTAACATACCCTAAATAATATCATTTATGAAGGAGTACCAAATCCTCAATCTAGTAAATGAAGAATGAAGTCAAGTGTCTCTTCAAACCGAGAACGAGCCACCCCAATCTGTAAAGCAAAACGACTCAAATGATGAGATATGGAATTAGCTTGATGCCAAAGCGTCCACCTACCTGTTTCAATAGCTCCTTCGTGTCCTCAATAAGCATATCCCCATAAATTAAAGAAGTATAAACCCGGTTGGAGAGTTGGTTTATAGAAAAACAAATTTTGATAACAAAAATGTAAAATGGAATTAATATTAGTTTTGAAGTTTTTCTTTGAGAAAAAGTAAATAATATTTTTGTAATTTTGTTGTTTTTTTAATAGATTTAGGTATCTTCCTTACTTAGATCACCTATCAGAAGTTTGACACTTTAGAAACTTGAGTCGCATCATAAACTGACTTGCCATATATCATTTCATTGCTAACAAATCACAAGTTGCAAGTGATGATTTGACCTGGTAGTGAGGGTTATTTTTATCAACCCACTATGTTTTGGATTCAAACTCTTCCATTTTTCATAATCTGTAATTTAGTGTAGTAGTGTCACTTGTACTCAAAACAAGTCACAAGTGATAACTAGCACCATTGCATTCCTCAAGTTTCGATACTTCATATTGCATTGCTTACCAAATAAAACAACGGATAGTGCCATCCACACACTCATTTTTATCTCACACGCACCCTTGTTAATTTTTGGTTATTGATCTTCTTTAATCGATCAGACAACAAAAATTGAGAGGGACCGAGTGTGTGAGGAGTAAAAATGGGTGTGTAGACAACACTAACCTAAAAAAACATGTCAGTTAGGCTTTTTTGGATTCAAAATTAATTCATTGATCATATAATAATAAATGCATTATGTAAAAAAAAATCAATGTGTAAATTGTGTTTGTTCATGATTTATTTATATATTTTTTACCTTGCAAGAAGCACCATTATTTCTTAATGTGCACTTGGATTACTTCTAGTTCACTATTGAAAGTAAAACATGGAGAGTATTGGACATGAAGGTGGTCCTTCGCCATTTTCTGATCAGTGCTCCAAGATAGTGCTATAACGTAGTGTCTTTTTTCTTGCATTGATCGAGAAAACGTTTTACTACAATGGGGCCACATAGTGGACCCCTTCTACTCAAATTCTGCATAATAATGTGTATTATATGCTTGCAATAATATGATTCGTGAGAGCATTGCTTGGTAAGAATAATCTCTAGCTATATGTTCTAAACTACTAATGCATTCACTATATTACACGTCTTTCATTTGGCACTTTTTATTTTTTGGATTTATTGGTACATTTGCTCACCATTTTTTTTTTATACAAGCAATGATAGATTGGTATTTCATTAATCATCTCAAACAATACATAAGTGCTAATTGGGTATAAAACTTCAGTAACCAAGAAAATGACTAGAGGTGAATTTGCACAAGCAAGACAACAATGGTAAACTCAGACGGCTACCACATGTACGAAACTTTCGCATGCCATCCATACAAAACTATCATAAGACGATATGTATAACAAACTTGTATCGACAACTGCAAAATTGAAGACACATTTCTCAATAAGTTGTAGAAACCCAATGAAGTGTCTAAAGTTTAAAATTTTGTTTGGTGAAGGATGGAATTGGCATATCCTAGATTATGTTTGAAGGATTGTTTGCCCACTACTGACAGTACTTGATGAAGCAAAGGCTTATAGTTCTAGTGGTAGAGTACCTTAATCTCATATACTTACGACTAGAATCCGACTCTTCCTCCATTTCTTTCCGGAATTAAGAAAAATGTGTAGTCGAATGAAAGCAAAGATCGCAACAGAATATGAAGCCTACTAATTACGTTGCCAGTTTTATAATTTTTAATTCTTTTGCCAATTTTATATTATTTAATTCTTTGTTGGTAAATTTGGAACTATCAAAATTTTGTTGTTTACCGAAATTAAGAACAAATTACAATTAAAGTTATTTTTCTTACCAATGAGTTCCTTAATATTCACAGAATTCGATGGGCTACTGCTAAATAGGATTTCCTTCGTAAAGCTTAATTTATGGTATTTATTATTCTATTTATAGGGGGATAGCAATATTTTTACTTGTGATCGCACTAATGAAAACCTAATTTGCAAAGGGGCTTGATCAGCTGAGAATCTCTATTGAAGATTTCATAGTATGACTACCGACAGCCATTAGGACATGCAACTTACAAAAAGAATTAAATTGAAGGTGCACCTAAATCTTTAACAGTCAAACGTAATAAGAGTTTCCCACATGATTTCATTTTTTTTTTTTTTTGTTTGTTATAAATCTCTGGGAGGAAGAGGAGTCAAATTTGATATCTCTTTCAATATTCAGGGAGAAAAATACTACTAAATTAGTTAGGTGGTCCGTTAAAATATTAAAGCAGCAAATCTTTGGGCAACGTATCAAATAAACACTATGACTACAACTAAATAATTTTAGTTGTTTTATTTAGTATCTTATGAAAATTAACGAGATAACTGATTCACGCACATTCTTTTTTTCTTTTGTATAGTTGTGTTTATTTCTGTCTCTTCATTTCACTTTGGTTTATCCAATTCAAATATCATAAATGATCAAAGGTGAGTATATGAATAAAAAAATGTGTCCGAAAATCTTCTCAATTTGTCAATTTCGTAGTTAACATTATGACTATTTTCTCTTTGTCTTTAGGTTGATCAACTATTAACAAGGTCTGAAGGGTGTTATTATTGGGTGCATTGGGGTCACAGTTATACGTCCCTTCCAATTCTATTACAATATTGAGGCCGAAAAGTACAGGCTAGAACAAGAGCGATAATTTCGTCACCTTGTGCTGTAGAATCACTATTATAAATTGACAGTAATGCTAAAGAGATTAAAATTAAATCTTATAAGTTAAATGATATAGTTGTTGATAATTAGATTATTACTTAAATATTAATTAACGTGCCTATTTTTTTATTGATAATACATCATTTGTTTTAAAATTTTAGTTTACTTAACATTACTTTTACCCTAAATTGACAAGCGACCCCGTTTGAAAATACTTGTGAACGAGCGAGCAGCCGACTCGACTGCGCGTGTGGTTCGATTCTCGACTTTTTCTCTCTTTCCCTCAGGTTTTTTGTTTCTATTTAAACCCTCCCACCCTGCCTTCTGTTTCATCATCTCCCAAACAACCCACAAACCTCCTCTGTTCTTCTCTTCCTCTGTTTTTTCTCTTCCTCAAATTCTTCGAAACCTTCGAGGTATAATCACAATCCTTCAAATGGGTTTTCTCGTTTCAACCCATTGAACAAATTTTGCATGCTTTGATGTATTTAGAGTGTGAAAGTTTGTGGTGTTTTCTTGTGTGTGCAGGCAGAAAAATGACCAACCAAAATGTGGTTGTTTCTGATGCCAAAGGCGTGGCTATTACAGTCACGGTTGCTGCAAAGCAGAATATGTTTTCACAATCGGTGCCAAAACCGATGACTGAGGCAGGAAGAGGAGGAGGATGCTTCACCATTCCCATGAACATCAAGGTTTTGAATGTTGACAAAGAAGGGGGAGCAGCCCGAGTCAATGCTTGGGTTGACTCCTTGAGAGCTTCTTCTCCGCCTCGTGTCAAATCCGCTGCCACTCCTCAGTCTCTTTCTGAAACAGTGGATAATAACTCTTGGAGTGTAAGCATTGCCCTAAAAAAAACTTAAATCAATCATTATGGGTGTTTTAATATTAAATTTAGAGTAATCTTTTTTTTTTTTTTTTTTGGGGTTAAATATAGAGTCGCCATCCATCAGCTATGAGCATGTTCGAGCAGATAACAAATGCTTCAAAGGGCAAGCAGATTGTATTGTTTCTTGACTACGATGGCACCCTCTCCCCAATTGTGGAAGACCCAGATCGTGCTTTCATGTCCAATGAGGTTTATTATTTCTCCCATCTGATTCTGCTCAACTTTCTTCAGTAAATATATATTTATACTGTACACCGTATCCATATATACGTATATATATGTGTATATGCCTTTCTTAGATTCTGAATTACTGTGGTAATTTTGGTCAGATGAGAAAGGCAGTGAAGGCCGCTGCTAGATACTTTCCTACAGCAATAGTTAGCGGGAGGTGCAGAGACAAGGTACAGTTTTTCTTTCTATACAAAGAAATATAAATAATTATATAAATAGTGGTAATTTTGTTTCTTTTTTTTCTTCTTCTACTTCATGATTAGTGGAATTATATAAATAGTGGTAATTTTGTTTCTGATAAATTTGCAGGTTTACAGCTTTGTAAAATTAGGAGAGCTTTATTATGCAGGCAGCCATGGGATGGACATCAAGGGACCATCCAAAAGTAGCAAATATAAGAATGTGAGCTCTAGTGTGATACCACAATAAAAAGTTCTTTATCTTTGTTTTTATTTTATTACCGTATCACTTTTTGTTATGACTAATATAATATTTTTCATGGTTTATTTAGGGTAATCAAGCAGTTCTCTTCCAACCGGCCAGTGAGTTTGTACCAATGATTGATGAGGTTTGTTCACTGATATCAATTTTAAGAACAAGAAAATTGAGAATATTCAAAAGTGTGTTGGGAGGACTAATTAAATTTGTGTTAATCTTTTAATAGGTGTACAAAATTTTATTGGAGAAAACGAGATCCATCTCAGGAGCTAGGGTGGAAAATAATAAGTTTTGCTTGTCTGTACACTTCCGTTGTGTTGATGAGAAGGTAAGCAAACAAGTCCCCCTATTAGTTTTCATTTTTTTTTAATTTTATCATGCTTTATTCATGTAATCTGATAAATAACACATTTATTTAGAATAAAAAAACAAAATTTGTTTTGTATTTTTGTTAATTTGGCAGAGTTGGGCAGCTTTAGCAGAGCAAGTTAGACTTGTTCTCAATGAGTATCCGAAGCTCAGGTTGACTCAAGGGAGGAAGGTAACTCATCATGTCTGTATCTTTAAAATTTTCAGTGAATTTTTTGCATGGCCATGGTTATATTTTGTACATTAGTAACTGCATGCCTAACAGTGGTATGCTGGTTTTAAACAGGTATTAGAGATCCGCCCAACCATCAAATGGGACAAGGGCAAAGCTCTTGAATTCCTGCTAGAGTCATTAGGTGAGTCTTGGAGTCAAATATTTTCTTCTAAAGTCTATGATTTGTATTTGAAGAAATGTTACCGTGAGTCAGTCTGAATGGTGCAGTTCCTAAAGTAGAACTCACATTAATTAATGTTCACTAGTATCTATGCACGTGTCAGCGATTGTTCCTGAGTAACAAAATCATATGTTAGTTAAATAATTTTTCTGAAGATGTTGAATTATTGTCTCTTTAGGATATGCGAACTCAAACGAAGTACTACCAGTCTATATTGGAGATGATCGAACAGACGAGGACGCCTTCAAGGTATGAAATGCCCTCCCTACATTTCTTTAATTTGCTGAAAGTATCGATATTTTCTTACAAGTCTTTGACATATTTTCACATCCTAAAAATGATCAGGTGCTACGCGATAGAGGACAAGGATTTGGTATTCTAGTTTCTAAGGTTCCAAAAGAAACAAATGCGTCTTACACTTTACAAGAACCAGCGGAGGTAAGAACAATATTATTCAATGGAATTTATGCTATTCGATATATATATATATATATATCTTATATTTTCTTTGGTTTTTACCATAAAGTTTCATATTATTGCATTACTTTTACAGGTTAAGGATTTTTTGCGGCGTTTGGTGAAATGGAAAACCAGCAAACTAACTAGCTAGGTCGACAATGGGGAGCGCACAATTGACTGAAACCCACCCCAAAATTTTGTGAAGGGTGGATTGAAATATGAAGTTTAATTTATTGTTAAGTGATTATTAATTATGGATAATGAATTTTGGAAATTGTATATAATGGCCCCTCTCAAGATCTCTCATTGTCTTGCGGTCTATTTGTTTTATCAACCACATGTATTTGCATGGCCATTGTTTAATTAATCATGATGTAATATGAGTACACTCTTCCAGCTGTGTTTTTCAAACTGAAAACCGACTTTTCACAATTAAACAAATAATAAACTTTCAAACCCCAATTAAATATGCATAGGACCAAACGCAAATAAAGCAGTATTTCCCTAGCCCTTCCCTAGCCCTTTAGGGTACACTGGCAGATGAGTTAAGTAATTGATTTCTCATTTGAATGTTACCAATTCCGATCACTATCATAACAACAATAAGTAATCGGACAAATAGCATCCAAACTAAAACATAAAAAACCCATGACATTACATAGTACTGTAACACAATGCTTCACATTCTCAATGTAGAGTTTACTTCAAAAAATGAGGACTTAAAAGTGAAACTTGAATACACGGATGTAAACACAAGAAATTTTGTACAATTGAGGAATTCGAATTTAATTCAGATGTCTAAAGGTTATAATTTTGTCCCATAGTCACTTTGTTATCATTTGGTCATATAATGTTAAAAAAAAAAAAAAATTCCCATATATATATGATAAAAGAAATTTAAGCAATTATTTTCCTCTCTAAGCCAAGTACATTTGCAAAGAAAAACAAAGAACAATCACGGCAGTTATATACTTGTAGTCAACTTTCCACACGCATGCAACCATCATTATTTTTATGAAAAATGACTTGCATGGTACGGGTATACTGGCATTGAACCATTTGCTAGTGCTTTTCATTAATTTTTACTTCTTTTTTTTTTTTTTAAGCATAACATCCTGTAGGATTAACTTGGTTACAGTTGTATTATGGAACCAAGACATGTCTCTTTAGAGGGGCACTACTGATTATTATACCCTACTCCATATATAATAATTGGGGACCTTTGGGCTTAACTATTGTCTTACTTATTTTGTTCCAATAAGAATTGAAAGGGAGAATCTACATGTATGATTATGTAAATGAAGATGAGCATTATTGAGTTACATGTTCCAAATTTTTACTTTTATCTCTGCTAATTTTTTTTATGGATGTTTCCTTTTAATTTTCGAAAATGGCAGCCTATATATAAGCTATCTTGCGTACACTAGGAATCCAAGAGAACTTGGGGAAAATGTTTTGTGCACATTGCCTAGACTATATATAATAAGTTGATAATTATATATGGTATTGAAATACTAACGTGGTGTTGGAAGCAGTGCTCTGAGACCCTCATGGATATCCATGGGGGTGTTGTTTAATTTAATCTGTTGTTAATACTTATACTTATTACTAATTAACCTAAACAAAGCATGGAAAAATATGCATGCAGCTGTCAAAAGGCACAATACGAATTCTTGAACTGTGTGTTTCAGACCACCAATATTATTGGGTGACTTCTGTCCACACAAAACTCTATGTTAAAACCTCAATAATAGGAAGCATCTACACACAAACTTAAGAGTAATGTTATTTATATCATGTTTTTGTACTATATTTTTATACCATCTTAGGTAACATTTAATGTAGATAGTCATATCATTTGAATTAATCAGATTTTTAAATTTAGTTCATTATTTAATAAATTAATAATTAAAAAAAACTAGTTAATTAATGATGATTGTGGTATACGAATAGTCTTTCTCTTTCCTTTCCTTGGGTTTTGCAAACATTTCAAATGATGTGGCTGTCCACATCATATACCACCTAAGGTGGTATAAAAGTATGGTATAAAAACATGGTATGAATAGCATTACTCCAAACTCAATGTTAAAACCTCAATAATAGGAAGCATCTATTCACAGTTGGCAAAATGCCCAAATAGTTAGGTATAATGTTTAAAATACAAACACTTTTTCTAGAATTAAGTTTGGACTTTCTAATATTTTTAGAGGTGTGCCATTCACACACCTCATTTTACTTCTCACACACCCTTTGATAATTTCTGTTCATTGATCTTCTTCAATTCATCCAATCCAACGGCCAAAAATTAAAAATTTGTATGAGAAGTAAAATAGGATGTGTAGATATCACACCCCTATTTTTATAATCAAAGAACCCAATGAATTCTATAATTTATGTTTATACGAATTACTGAGTCCATTGCCCAAAATATCTAAGTTGTCGACGGTTACATATTTTGATCCATGCCATATTCATTATTTTAAGTCTTGGGTTGAGAGGACGTACCTGCACCAGTCAGTGGCATTGTTCATTGCTCCTAAATTGACATAGTTTTCCTATATAATTAGCAGGAATATATTCATCATCGCCATACACAAACAAGCCGTTAAGTATCTTCTTAATTTGGCAAAGTTGGCATATATCACAGAACTCTTAACAGTACGAAAGAATATACCAGAAAACTAAGAACACTAAGAAGAATTTAGAGAAACTAAGAGAAAAGCAACGAAAGTTTTCGTATTGATGGAAATTGTAGTTGATTACAATAAGCTGCTCACAACCTTTTTATACACTACATCCTCTAACTAACTCTCTTACACAGTAAGTTTTCTTATTACCACCTCAACTAATTCTTAACTGTTTCCTTGATGATGTGGCATTAGTCAACATAAGTCAACATCCCCCCTCAATCTCAATTAGGGTATCCTAGTTTGAGAAAGAAACAATGACGAGTGAATGTATGACTTTGCAACCCTTTTGTAAGAACATCCATAGCCTGTTCATTTATAGGCAAATATTCACTCACCAAATCACCTTTATGTACCCTTTCCCTGACAAAGTGATAGTTAATATGAAGGTGTTTGATTCTTGAATGATACACTAGATTAGCACTGAGTGCTATCGCAAACATGTTATCACAGTTTATAGTTGGTGGAGCAGACAATACAACTCCTAAGTCCTTCAAAATCAATCGAATCCAGGGTATATCTACTACAGTGTGTGCCAATAGATAAGAATACTACCATGGAATTTGCTTCTTGGATTGCCAAGAGATAAGAATACTACCAAGGTATACCACATAACCAGTCACTGAACATCTTGTATTTAAATTAGCAGCCCAATCAGCATCTGAGAATGTTGTTAAATGCACATCTGTATTAGAAGAATAGGTGATTCCACACTCTGCAGTCCCTTGAAGATATCTAATAATTCGTTTGACAAAACACAAATGCACATCAGTTGGTGATTTCATGAACTGACACATTGAATTCACAGCATAAGCTATATTTGGGCATGTGAATGTTAGATAATGTAGGGAACCAACTAAACTTCTGTACAAAGTAGGATCTTGTAATGGTTTACCCTCATTGACTAACATCTGATTATGAGGTTTACATGGAGTATTTGCAGGCTTACATGACTCCATCCCAACTTTATGTACAAGATCTTTTATATATTTGGTTTGATTCAAAACTATATCTCCATTAGCTTTGTAATGAATCTATAATCCCAAGAAGTAGGTAAGTGTACCCATGTCTTTTAAGTCAAATACACCAGCCAAGTCTTCAATCACTTTCTGAACTTTAGTAGTATTGGACCCTATGAGAATTATGTCATCCATATATAATAGTAGGATCACCACATCTTGACCAACATTCTTTACAAACAGACTAGTATCTGAGGCAGATGCAATAAACCCTAATGCTAATAAATGACTCGTGAACTTTGAATTCCAGGCTCTAGGTGCCTGTTTGAGACCATATAAGGACTTTGCACACATAATCTGGATGATAAAGATCCACAAAGCCTTGAGGTTGTTTCATATACACCTCTTCATGTAATTCACCATGCAGAAAGGCATTCTTGATGTCTAATTGCTTCAATTCCCACTTATATATAGCTGCCAAGGACAATATCAACCTCACTGTGGTGTGTCTCACCACTGGACCAAAGGTCTCTAAGTAATCAAGGCCTTGTTCTTGTGAAAACCCTTGAGCCACAAGTCTGGCTTTGTACCTGGAGACACTTCTATCAAGATTTTTCTTGATTTTATAAACTCACTTGCTCCCAATTATTGATCTGTCAAGTGGAAGTGGGACTAATTGCCATGTCCCTTGAGCTTTGAGTGCATTATATTCATCTTGTATTGCACTTTGCCACTAAGAGATTTTAGATGCTTGTCTGAATGTCGAAGGCTCATCTGAGTCTTTAATAGCAGCAAGAAATGAAAACCCACCAAACAATTCAAATTCATCATCTAATTGCAAAGTTTGTAATTTTGGACATGAAGCAAGAAAACCAATGTATGACCTCTTTGGAATTGATCCTGACCTTATTCTGGTAACCATAGGATAACCTGCTTCTTTATGAATATCAGATGAGGATGAAGGAGAAGAAATTGAAAGTATGACCTCCAATTGTAAGGCCTCATGTACATGTAACATTGCCATTGGACCTTAAGTAGAGACTAGAGAATGATAGGAAGAAGAACTATTTGTTGCCTCATGAATGATATCTAGTATGTCTTGAACCAAAGAACTAGACTCATGTGTATTGTGCCTTAACCCTTCTTCAACAGTTTCTGGATCTGTAGTTTGTTGCTCTCTAGATTGAGATAACCCAACATGTGAATTTGTAACAGAATTAGACACTTGAACAATAACAGGTGATATTCTTGTAAATTGAGCCTTACTTGTATTCCCAGTAACTGTTAGCCCTTGAAGCTTATAAGGAAACACACTTTCATCATGAATCATATGTCTTGAAATAATTAACTTGTTATTGCCTGTGTTATAACACACAACCCCTTTATATCCAGCAGCAAATCCCAAAAACACACATAGTTTAGACCTTGGTTGAAGCTTGTTGTGATTATAGGGCTTTAAGAATGGATATACACTAGATCCAAAAAATTCAAAGTATGTAAGACCGGATCTTTATGAAATAGCAACTGGTAAGGTGACTTCATGCTTAGGTTCTTACATGGCATTCTGACAAGCAAAATTCCAAAATTGTGATCGAATATTAGCATCTGTCAACAATGTGATTGCTGTTTCGACCAAATGCCTATGTTTCCTCTCAGCAAGTTCATTTTGCTGAGGGGTATAAAGACATGATATAGAATGTACAATGCCTTTTGATGCTAAAAAAGCTTTGAATTTGTTACTCAAATACTCAGATCCACCATCAAT